AAGAAGCATTGCTATCTTTTTTCACTTTATATAGTATTATCCTTACGATGCCTCAGCTGAGGCAAGCAGAGAACTACTAACTTATGTTAGAACACTTGGCATTAGAAAGTTAGAAATATGTGACATTCCCACTTCAGGAATTGATACCATCGGATTACTGTTTGTGAATTGTTGCAGCTGCAAACAGCAGTGCGTTCTGATGCGCTGATGCTTCTGAAGAGAGCACTGCGTGGACTGGAGCTGGAGCTACGTAATGATGCAGCAACGTGTGAGTCACGCTCCCAGTTCGGCAACCGCCTGATTAACCGGCTTACTCGAGTAAGTTTCTTACCTGGACCCGGATTTGTTCCCTTCCAGAAGTGATACAGCAAAAGAGCAGAACTGTTGTTTGCTATTATATGATTGTCTCATATTCTGAAATTGGTGTTCTTGGTTTTCTCGAAATGTGCTGGCCTGCAAATAATATTCCATTGTTTTTCAATTCTGAGAGTGAATCCTGGAATTGGTGCTTTTTTTGATGGAATTGAAGATGTCCAATATTTTTTTTTTTTGATAAATCCTGTTTTTTTATTACAGAAAACATTTAATGGGTCAACAGGCTCGATTGCTCTGAACAGTAATGGAAAACGAGTGAACTACTCAGTTATTGTGCTGCATCGCAATAAGAAAGGCTTCGAAAAAGTTTGTTTTATTTACAGGCAAAGCAAAACTGAAAATGGTTAACGCACCATTGTTTTTGAACATGGCCTGCTGTATTGGCAAAAACTGAAGTGCGGGTTGGTAAATGGGTGACAGTTGTGCGATTTAAGACTAACCTCTGGGTTTATGGCGATCTGAACTTGAAAGTGAAATTCTGATAAAGAAGAGGGCACTTGTTGCGGTTGCTAACAACCGTATTTCTGTTTCAGTAACGAGGCATTTTCACCTACCTCTGTTAAAATTCTTTAAGTTCCTTTGCAAAAGCTTTTACAGGAGATTTGAATTTTTTAAAAATCCATTTCTTTTTCTGCGTATGTATATATTTTGTTTGTTTTTTATGCGTTTTTTGCAGCAATGCAATGCGAGTGTTTGTCTGTGTGTCTGTGTCGGTGTGTGCGCAGGGCCTCTGTACCGATTTTTCATCTCGAGACCCACAAAAGCTACAGGGTTGAAACTTTGGGGACTTAATCTGCATGCATGTACGGGCCCCCATCGCCAAAATGGGCGGTCTTTCCCACGTGGCACCCACGTAAGAGCCTGCTAAAGTTTTTTACGAGTAAGCTGCTAACTCGCGAACCAGAAAAGCTAGAGAGCTGAAATTCTTTGGAAATGTTCCCCGTCCAAATAGGTACTAATGAGCTCAAATCCAACCCCCGGGTAAGCATGGTACCCGCGTACGAACCCGCCAAAGTTCTTCCCGGGTAAGTTTATAACTCGGGGATCTTAGATGCTAGAAAGCTGAAATTTTAAGGGAATGTTCCCCGCCCAAGTAAGTGCTAATGTGCTCAAACCCAGCCTCCGGGTAAACGCGGTACTCCCACGTACGGGCCCATGAAAGTTTTTTCGGGTAAATTTCTAACTCGGGAGCCTGACGAACTAAAAAACTGGAATTTTGAAGGGATGTTTCCTGACAGTCCTGGCGGGCAGTCTGAAATTCTTTTAGCTAGAAGCATCTGTCGTAAAAACCAGTGTCGTTAGCGAAAAAAATCTGCGGGGAGCTGTGCAAAAGACGCATCCTCGCACGGGCAACCCTTGCGTTGGCCAATTATTTGAAACTTGTTTTTTGTGAACTTGTCATTTTAAGTAGAGGATGGGGAATTTTCCATCTGTAAAGTTGGATATTTCCTGATCTGCATTCCGCCATGATTTCTGCAACTAAAGGGGTTTAAGTTTGTCAGTCTAAGCTAAACCACTGCACATTTTGCAGTATAGGGTTTAAAATTTGAAAAACTTATAAGTTTGGCTTATAACTGTATCAGTTTCCTGGATAAGTGATTTACGAAAAGTGTTCTTTACCTAAATATATTTAGTTGGGTGAATGGCACAGCGCGACCGAAGAACTCGCATTACTGAAACCATCTGAGAAGGAATCACCAAATGATGACACTCTGGAGAACAGGACGTTACGTATTGCTGTTTACGTGGTTCGCATTTTTTAAACTTAGCCGTTTTCGTTTACCTTTGCTGATCCATAGAAATTCCGCATTCATTCTTTTCGATGATAATTTGATACCGGTATGTGATAGAGAAAAAAACCCCACCAAAACTTGCTTAACAGGTCTCGAAAGAGGAACCATCGCGACAGCCTTGCAAGC